TGTCTTTGGCACAGTGCAGTGAAATGGTGAGCATGTGTTTCATATAATACATGTTACTATATTGTGGATATTAGTATGATTGGATCTAGGGCTGCACAATAAATCATATTTTTAATCATGATTTCTGCTTCTCTCCATTAAGATATTATAATCGTATGCGATATTTGCCCACTGGTTATTTATCCCGAAAGTTTTCAATTTAAATTTGAATTTGGCATGTGTATTATCTTTCAGTGGTAACGAGCCTCCATAAGCTTTCATGGTTGGTTGTTTTGTTTTTTTCTTTAAATGACTAATCGTGTTTTAAAATTGTGTTTTAAAATCTTGATTATATTTTTGGAGCAAAATAATCATGATCATTGTTCAGCCCTAATTGGAGCACTGTATTGACCAATCAGAAGCCTAGAATCCCATTTTATTGGATGGATACTCAAAGATAACATATCCACACTGTATATAACAAGGGCAAATTGTGTCAATAATAAAGTCCAAACCAACCAGTCAATGCGTTGTCTAAACGGCTAGTCCGTATATAGAGATTTCAGCGTAATTAGGCTGGTTTAGAGTAATGTCTGCCGGACATGTGTTTTTAGCAATGTTATGAACACAAAACATAGGCTTTCAACAAAAGATTTTTTTTTTACACAAAAACTACCAATAGTCCTCACAAAACAATGGAGCCCAACAGATTCAGCATAGTAACGAAAACACTGATGATGCAAGTTCTTGTGTTTATAATTGCCTTGAAATGTGTTGATGAAGGTGCTTTAAAGGCAATGTAGAGATGCTTCTCCTTATTTGTCTTTATTTGTCTATTAAAGGTACTAAACAAACAGAATCTTTGTAGGTTCACTAACAAACTAGTTGGTTGTTGGATGACTAGTCCACCACTCTGAGCCATATCTTAGTAAGGAATGATGTGAATGTGTTGAGTATGTTGTGCAGAGCAGTAGATGAGCCCAGTCTGTTCTCAGGGTGTTTCCTGAGGCGGGATGGGGGCCTGCTGGAATCTGTGCAGCCCATGTCTGAGCACGTTTTTGTGAGGGGAGCGTCCCTTCACCGAGGGGCTGTCAAGTAAGGTCATTTGTCTTCTAGCATTTTAGAAGTACAGACGACCCGGATAGAAGCAGAGTGAGAGAATATTTCAGATCATACTGTCAGTTGTTGGACTCCCGGAGAAACGCAAGCAAAAAAGTCTTGGCGTAGTGTCATTATGGCAGAAGAACATTTTCCAACATCTCTTTCACTCACTTACTCAGTTCATTTGGCAAAAGTGGGAAGACTTTTATCTGTCTGTAATTTATTGCTTTTTACTTTCTTTATGTGAAAATTAATCAGGAATGTTTCCTGTTCGTCTGCGATCCAGCACCAATTTACTGTGTGTACATTGGAGGGAAAGTCTTGTGTTCAATATGGGCCAAACATGTGACCAGAATCGACCCACAAATTGATTAGTTGTCTGGGAGAAATTATTCTATCATAAAACTTTACTGGTTGGGATATTTGTCTATGTATCACTAATTAACGATTAATTAATTTTAATTAGGCCTGATCAGAACTTTTTCTAACTCACATGCACATGTATATGTTGCTTTTTGCCTATATTTTTGTCCATTTCTTGGTGATCCTGCTTATCAATCAATTTCCACCTTTTGATTACAATGTGTTTCTGCAGTCAATGTTTGTGGGATTTTAATTTCCAACCCATTTGGGTTAGTCTTATCTAAGCAGTATAGTCATTTTTAAACAATAGTTGAATTAAATAAATCAGCTCAGCATGTTGTATCTAACATTAAACCCAACACAGCTGGGTCAAAACAACCCAGTGATGGGTTTGTCCCCTTTTGACCAATTATCTAGATTGGGTTGTTTTTAACCCAGTATTTATACAATCACAGTTTACTAGTTTATTTAATTTCAAATGATCAGCTAATTTAAGTGATCAACTAATCTAAGCTTTGGCCACATGTTCTCTCCTGCACTAAACGTTTGTACTTGTGAGGTAAGAATGAGTTTACCGGAAGTGATATTTGTATTACCACAGAAGGATTTTAGTTTTCTAATGGGCAGTCCAGATGTTTTTACTTGTAGAATTTCCATGGATGTTTTCATGACAATGTATAATGCCTGGGAAAATCAAGTCAAAGATAGTAGATCCCAGCTGTAAATAATTTGTTTGATGTTTATCCAAGCGGTTTCATCAGTTATCTGGTTGGTGAGGAATTCCCAACATTTAAATGTATGCCCACTGTGATCTCGCAGGACCTCTAATAGTTGGTATAACACACCTGCAGATGTGAATGGAATAAAACATTGAAGTAGCTGTTCCAGTATGATGTCCTCCTTCACTCTTTCCTTGAGTTGTTTGTCTCACCTATGTTAATATTGTTACACAAGAATATAAAGCAGTTCTTTTATTTCACAAGTCAATTAATACTATCTTGGTTTGACTCACTCATAATGGTAACTCCAAACGCTTTGGCATTGACTGGATCTATTTAAAACTCTGCTACAAGAATTCCTTGATAGCACTTAAAGGGGTCATATAATGCGATTTCATATTTTCCTTTGTCTTAGGAGTGTTAAAAGCTGTTTGTGCATACAGAAGATCCGTAAAGTCGCAAAGATTAAAGTCTCAAACCCAAAGAGATATTCTTTATAAAAGTGAACCCTCAGCCACGCCCTCCTAAAACGCCTCATTCAAACACACCCTCACAAATCTACATCACTGTGTGGGAAGATTTGCATAACGCCGCCCAAATGTTCACGCAAAGAAAGAAGGTGTAACTTTATTGTTGCTGCCACCGCCGCCGCCATGTTGTGGAGACGCTGTGTGCTTCGTTGCGAAAGCTAAAGGGCGTAACATTTTCGTCACATGCTTGAGGAATTCGGCCAATCACAACACACTAGATAGCCGGCCAATCAGAGCACACTGCGCTTTTTAGAACGATGAGCTTTGTAAAAATTGATGCGTTTCAGAAAGCCGGGGCATAGTGGAGTAACAATAATGTACAGTATGTGGAAAAAAAATTGTTGTTTTTTTACCTTAAACCGTGTAAACACATTTCATTACACCAAATACACAAAATAATGTTCTTTTTAGCAATGTCATATGACCCCTTTAATAAAAACTTAAGTCTTTAAGAAGGTTACTTAAATGTTTCCATCACACAACAGAAAGTGGACACTGAAAACTTTAAGAGCTGTGAAGATGTGCATTATTTTCTTGTTGAAAGGTTTTCTTGAAACTGTTTAATTCTGCTTGTTGAAAATTCTGTCATCATTCTCACCTTCATGTCGATCCAAACCTCAGCTTTTTTTTTGCTTTACATAACACAAAGAAAGCAAAGAGATTTGGAATGACATGAGGATGAGTAAATGATGAAATGAAATTAAGCACATCTTTAGCAGTAATCTTTATTTGTTGAAGTTATTAGTTAAAGTTCATTCCCTGTTCTCTGAGAATGTTCTACAGAGACACCTGTTAGAAGTTAGTTGGCACATGCCCTGATTACACAGCAATTTGTTGTTTTTTGCAAGCCAAATCAATGTCGTGATCTCTGTGAGAGAAAAAAACAGCCAGCCTGTGATTGCTTGTATTGTTATCCTTGAGTTATTTGTTGTCATAATGGAGTAAATTCAATTATGATGCCGGTGAAGATACTGAGCACTAGTACCCTACCATACTACTACATGCCTGTTTCAGTTTACTGGTAAATGCACCAAAGACACAACATAATCACTGAGTACAGTTCAGTTTGGTTCAGTTTTATTTCAATTGTTTCAATGCAGCTGCACTGAGGACATTGCCATAATGCTCTGAGTAAGCAAGCCGACTGTGGCAAGAAAAACCTCCTGAAGATTAAGCAGGATGAGGAAGAAATCTTGGGAGGAACCAGACTCAGTATGTTGGTTTATAAACTCTGTTATATCCTGAGAATAATAGCCGGGATTCCAGCAGGCCGTATAATTCCAGTATTATATTAGTTATAATTATATTAGTTACACTACTGGTGGTCAGATTTTTAAAATGTTTTTTAAAAGAGTCTCTTATGCTCACCAAGGCTGCATTTATTTTTTATTTTTTATCACTTATTATTGTTTTTATTGATTGATTGATTGATTGATTGATTGATTGGTGTCACTGGGGTACAGATGGATCTGTACTTTGAATCAGAGCTTTAAATGCAAGTAGCAGTATTTTATAAGTCAAATTATATTATTTATAATTGAACTGGTAGAAAAAATTTATGTAGCAACGAAACATATTCTGACACTGTTTATTTTCTTTGGACATGGTACAGACTCTGCTGCATCTTGAAGTTACAAATACATAAACTTATTCATCATTACATGCCACCATGATAATATACTTGGTAGGCATATTGGAAAAAGATTGTTGTCAAACAGATTGTTGTCAAACACCATGTTGTGTAACTGTAAAGCATGACACTATTGAATATCTAAACACTGTATTAAAGGAACATCTTGAAATGTTTATGTATAACTTGGAAAACTGAAATTACATCTGGTGTGGAGGACACTTATGTTATAACAATGAAAGCTAGTGCCATTGTTCCTTGTAATACGCTAGCACCTGAAGGAAGCATGTATAAGCAGTTCATTAAAGGACCTGAGACAGAGCCTTGTGGCACTCCTTAATTCTTAGGTCTGAAATCTCCTCCTTCATACTTACAAATATAGCAGATTTGACATAAATCAGGTTAGAATGCCAATGTGATTCTCCAGTTTGTTTGAAAGAATGTTATAATGTATAATGTCATAGGTAATACTAAAATTTGAATTTGTGTTCAGACCCACAATGGCTGATAACTATTGACAGAATTGTTTTTAAATAATACCTGTTATTGATTGTCACTAAAGTTATGTTATATTAAAAAAAGTCATATTTACTCAATACATGACAAAGACCACAGAAATAACACATGCTTTGTTTGATCCAAGTGTTTATTTATTTATTTATTTATTTTTGTTTCCAGAGATCTAAGATTCAACAAAATCAAGGATTTACAGCCAGGCTCCTTCAGACGACTAAAAAACCTCAATACACTGTAAGTGTCAATGTTTTCTAAACTGGTTTCATGAAAAACACACCTCATAAAACTAAACATTTTGGAGCATGTACGCTAGTTTGAAAAAATATATTTTTTGATGTCTAATACATTTCTTTCCTCTTTCTTTAAGCCTTTTAAATAACAACCATATTAGAAGAATCCCAAGAGGAGCCTTTGAAGATTTGGAAAACTTAAAATATCTGTGAGCTTTTCTTTACCTCATTTGATTGCTTCTAATAATATAGAAAGTGTATAAAAATACAGAAAGGGTGATGCTTTATGGACAATAGTTTCCCAGCTTAAGTTCTGAGTTAGAGAAGTCAAGTAATATTAATTTGAAACCACTGACTCAAAGCCTTTCACTTGATTGCAGAGCCATGATCCAGCATGTTGCACCATGCTCACCACTTGTATGAATGATTCAGTCATTACTACTGCCATTGTTTGACACATGAAAAGAGACTCTCACAGATACGGGGAACTTAATTGTCTGCGCTGTAAAATTATCTGTCTGACGGCCCTGACCCAAAAGTGCGGAGATCAGAGTCAGGCGGAGCTGGAATAATTGCTTTCTGGGCAGACGTTGCACAGTTCCTGTCTTTGTTCGTCACAGGGCAATTTGAGAATCTGTAACTTTAGTTGTGGTGAGAGCAGCCTGTGTTTATATTTAAATAGAGTCAGTTGTTTGAAATGTTTCACACCTGGTTTTGCCTAGATAACATTTAAACTCAGCTGCTAACAGAATACAGAAAGAGGTGAATCTCACCAATCTTTTCAAAGACATGTCTGGTCATATTTCACCGCCAAATCAAATTGATCAATTATATTTTGCTTCAAGAAAGTGAAGCATTTTTTTAGCAACACTAAGATAAATCAATTTTGCATTGTGACATTAATAATTTTTATTACTTTACACATTATTATTGGGACATCCATCCTCATCCCTAAATATCATTGCTGCTGTGTGAATATATTATTTAATTTAATTTTTTTATTTTGTTTATTTAATTGTAAGATTACAATGGGAAAAAAAAAAACACTAAATGCATTTAAATACAAAAAGTCTTAATAGACCTAAAATTGGCTTTATATGGGTGAAATATGACCTGGACATGTTGTGAGGTTCCTCGTGTGCATATGAGGAATTTGTATTTATGTATTTATTGCTTGCTTGATTGCTATACTGCCAAAAAAAAAAAAAAAAATAGCCAGCTCTCAGTGTATCCATCACTAAAATCCCGTTTTAAGAATTATATTACAAAAAAATGTGTATAACTCACTGGTGATTGGCCACTGGACTGTGTGAGGTCTAAATAATCTCTACAAGAGGCCGAACAATTAGAGCCCACTGTTATTCTAGTGCTGGTGGTCCAAAGGTCAAATGCTGACTTCACAGTCTACAAGTCGTGTGTCACTCCTGATAAACATACTGAGTATTTTAAGTCTCAGGCTGAGTATTAATCCATTCATTAACTGCTCTTGGGCGGTACAGTCATCAGTCACATGTGATAGTTCACACAGTCATGATGTCCAGCTGGCTAGTCCTCTAGATAAAGTGAATATAACTTGCTCTGAGTGGCTGGTAAATCTAAACTAGATTATATACAGTAGATAAAAAAATAGAAATAAAAACAACAAAAACACACAACTAAAACTTTAAAAAGAAAATGTAAATTAAAAACTGAAAATATACAAATAAAAAAACAAATTCAAAATGTGAATAAAATAAAATAATATTATCTTAGAATAATTACAATAACAATGATTTAATTAGTCACCATCTGGATTTTTTGATATGCTGCAAATGTCTTTTTTCCCCTCTTCTTCTTCTTAATTACATATACAGTGGAGTCCAAAATTCTGAGATTTTTTTTTTTTAGCATTGAAGCCTAGACATAAACAGAAAGTATTAGGAATTCAAAACATTTAAGGACATTTTATGGACCAGTATTCACGTGCATATTTATTTACATTTTTCAGTATACTTTTTACTCAGATTGTTACTGATGATATCATTTGTAATGGAGAAATTCAGAAAAACAGAAGCATTTTTCCTAATGATCTCAGACTGCATCATGGTCTGAGTGATATTCCTATAACGGCAATAATATTCTTTGCATATTCTTAACCAACATAACTTATGTTTAGTACTAAAAAAGTGTGTTGCTTTAGCAGTGCTTATAAATGCAAATATAAATATTGAATACTTGTATGGGAAGACACCGCATATCTGCAGCATATACTTTCTGTGGGATGGTGTCATAGTCCTCAAGGACACAGAATCATGTGGTTTATGTGACTGAGCGCTGGTTCTCAACAGTACACTGTCCCTAGACAGGAAAACAACAAACTTTCATTCCTGTTTCCCACAGGCCACCCCTTCTGTGTTTTCAATATACAGTCAATATGCAACTTTTTTTTTTTTTATTCCTGCAATATCTGATGTAAAGTTAATTTTGACCTTTCTTTATTTCTGTGTGTACAGGTGTGCATGTTTTCTTTTAACTGTTAAAAATAGGAGATCCCTTAATGTTTGACACTCGCTATGTACTAATATCCCTGAATATTTCTTTAAGCTATTTGTACAAGAATGAAATCCAGGCGATAGACAGAGAAGCTTTTAAGGGGCTCGTCTCTCTAGAACAACTGTAAGTAACCTTTTGCCCTGTCATCTCCTGTCTAGTTTTTAATAGCTATCAAAGTTAAAGGAATAGTTCACCCAATTTCTATTCATGACACAAAGCTATTGTACAGCTTTCAGAAGACACAGAATATAGTGCATAAGTCAATATAATGATATTTTTATGGTGTTAAAAATATCTCCAGTCCCCATTTATTATGGGGGTTGCATTTTTGTGTTTTGTGTCTCACTAAGAAAGTTATATGGGAGCAATGTGACTGTGAGTAAATGATTACAGTTATATATATATATATATGGGTGAACTATCCCTTTAAGTGTATGATGCAGTTTGATCCATGTTTTTACAAATTAAAGATTTTTTATCAAGCACATTGCCAAACTGGGGAGGGTGAAACCTACAAACCTACAAATTGCTCTTCCGTTTAGATTTTACAGAGAACCACTTGGGATCAATAGCTCACATTTAAATGTTCCACTTTTCATGTAGTTAAAGGCACAATATGTAAGATTTTTTTATTAAAATATCCAAAAACCACTAGAACAGTGTTATATATTTTGCTGACTTGTGTACTTACATTATCCCAAATGTTTCGAAGAATGTATAAATCCAGAGC